GTGTTGGGGTACTGGTAGGGTCCCCCCCTAGAATGGCATGCAGCTGATCATAGAAGCAGCATGTTTGGGGCTCTGACCCGGAGCAACTGTTTACCTTCTTTGTCTTTTGGTAGGCTTGCCTGAGCTCCTTAATTTTCACGTGGCAGTGCTGTGCATCCCTGGTGTAGCCTCTGTCCACCATGCTCTGTGCAATTTTGGCAAAGCAGCACTTCTTCTGCTGGATTAGAGTTCTGCCTGCACAGATTCTTCTCCCCATACTGCAATCAGATCCAGTGTCTCCCGTTTGCTCTATGCTGGAGCTCATTTGCGATTCTGGGACTGCATGGTCACCTGTGCTGCTGAGCTCGCCACGCTGACCAAACAGGAAATGAAATTCAGAAGTTCCCGGTGCTTTTCCTGTGTACCTGGCAAGTGCATCGGAGTTGAAAGTGCTGTCCAGAGCGGTCACATTGGAGCACTCTGGGATAGCTCCCAGAGGCCAATACAATTGAATTGCACTGCGCTGTGTCTACACTACCCCAAATTAGACCCAGGAAGGTCAATTTTAGCGCTACTCCCCTCGTCGGGGAGGAGTATAGAGGTCGATTTTAAGGGCCCTTTAGGTCGGTGGAACGGGGTTGGTTGTGTAGACGCATTCCTTATAAAATTGACCTAACATGGCTAAATTTGACCTAACCTCGAAGTGTAGACCAGGCCTCAAAATTGCTCAGGAGGACACCTCTTTCCTCTCCAGGGACAGAGGGGGAGTTGTCTTCTTGTACCAGACAATTGTTCTCTCCCTGTAAGAATGTCAGTTAATAACAGATGTAGTGGCTTTCTATGGTGTGTGAACTTGTCATTTCCTATAGGCTATAGAGTATTTGTCAGATGATAACAGTGTGGGTTGGATTTGAACTGGCAAGTCTTACATCTTCAAATGACTCCTTAGGGACGCTTCTGCTAAAGAAGCCCTATTTTTATCATTGCAGATGAACTTCCACAGCCTCTCCTGGAAGCACACAGAGAAACTGACAAGAATTGTCAATGTATTCTCTGTCAGTGCTGTTATAAAAGCAGGACTTGTGGGAACTCAGCTGCAATCCTTTGCTGCTGTTGTTGGGGAGCCCTATCTTTGTTGGGAAGGAAGAAGTGAAGGGAGGTGACTTGTGGCCTGGTGACAGCACATCAGAACTTGCGTTCCACCATCGTCCTTTGCCCTCCAGGCTAGAAGCAATGTTGGAGGGATTATATTTAGTTGCAGGGGATTTGATAACCAACCACCAGCCAAAAGGCAGTCTGCTGCAATTTGAGCCTTTGATGATATGGATCCTGGAATGAACCCTGAAAAGAGCGTTGGGACATGGGGTGAAAGAATGATATGCAGCTACTAACTGCCATGTGTTTGTCCTGGAACACCCTCTTTCCCCCCTGCCCACCCCCCCCGCCACATGCAGAGCTGTAATGAAGAGTCTGTCTTCAGGTTGGCAGGATGGTCATACTCCAAAGGGGCAAGACTTTGTGGTGAGGGGATGAAGCTGCCAGTGCAGCGGCTTCCTAGAGATTTGTTCTCATGGGAGAAATGTAGGGTGCAGATTTATTCTTGCTCTTTCCATTCACTTGTCATCTGTGCACAAAGCAACTTTTCCTTTGTACTTGCTGGTGTGGGAGGAGCTAATGGACAGTCCCATGCAGGGGGAGAGCTGCTACAGTATTCCTGCTATGGCTGGCAGTACAGGGACTTTTCTCCCTGATGAGTCATAGCAGGTCTATTGGGTGGAGAAGGCAGGGAATTACTACCTCCCGGCCTTCTGCCCCTCCTGCATTTGCTTGCCCCTCCCCGTGTCTTTCTGACACTGCTGTTCACTTCCAAGGCTTCTGGCCAACCATTGGGACCCTGTTGCTATTGAGGCTGTGAAATATTGAAAAGGATTAGTTCGTTAGTAATTGCCTAGATTGTGAGCTCTCTTGGGCAGGGAATGCATTTTAGTTCTGTTTTTACTTCCTCCCCGCTTCAAACCCCTTGGTATCCCCACAACCTCCCACCCAGTCTCCTGATATCCATCTGCTCCCCTGCCTCCCTCCCTGTCCACCTTTAACTGCATGCTGCTTCTCTCTCTCTCCATCCTCATCCATCGTTCTGCTGCCCCTGCCTCCACTACGTGTGTAAGTGAATTGGCTGTGTGTGTTGGCAGCTGTATGGTGATGTGGAGGTGAAGAGTTTGAGGGGATCTGGTAGTTATGATGCTGGCTGGTAGAGCATGTGTTTGAGGTTGTGCTGTATGTTATGTAGCTCTAATTGGTGGCTTACATGCTTTGTATTGTTGCTGGGAAATGAACTTCAACAAACTTAACTCTTATTTTAAAAGGTCTTTTTTGTGGGAATAATATAATTATTTGCACTTCTCTAGTGCCTTTAATCCAAAAATCTCAAAGCCTTTAACAAATGTAAATGAATTAAGTGCCTCCGACCCCTGTGGGTGTGACATTCCCCAAGGTACAATCTGGACTGTTGACCATTGGTGTCCTTTTAAGTCTCTAGCCTGGGCTGCCGTTTACACTGCTTTGTTGTCCGAACAGCCACTCCTGACTTGCTTGCGCAGCCTTCAGCACGCAAATTCACTCCCAGCAAAATACATGAGCATGCTGAGGAGTCACTCATGAGGGTGACACCTACAAATTCTTACTCCCAGCCTTGTCCCCCAGAAATGTATGTCTTGTGCTGCTCGGTACCTTTCTGAACAGTATACGCTCATAGAAAGTCCATCACTTCATCAAAGGAAAATTATATATGCAAATGGAGTTTCCTACATACTCTAATCCAAATATACTGGATAAAATAAAACAATAAGATAAATTTATTAAGAAAGACAGATTTTAAGAGCAACAGAGAGTCCTGTGGCACCTTTAAGACTAACAGATGTATTGGAGCATAAGTGGGTATTCTGACGAAGTGGGTATTCACCCACAAAAGCTTATGCTCCAATACATGTTAGTCTTAAAGGTGCCACAGGACTCTCTGTTGCTTTTTACAGATCCAGACTAACACGGCTACCCCTCTGAGATTTTAAGAGATTACAAGTGATGATGCATAAAAGTCAGGATTGGTTACAAAAGAAATAAGAGTAATGCGCAAGCTAATATTTAACAAGCTAAATGAACTTAACAGCAAAAGTTTTGTCTCACCATACACTGTAGTAAATTTCATAGGCTGGGTCTCCTTCCAGCCTAGGACCACTCCCCTTTATTTCAGTTCTTTTGAGAGTGGTTAATATCATGAGCACAGAGATGGGAGGAGGAGCGGTGAAGTCAAGTGTTTTCCTCTCCCTTTATAACTTAATTTCTTGTGCTAGAAACATCCTTGCTCAGTCACGGTGACACGCAGGTCAAGCAGGACATGAGGTTTGAATGGTCCCTGAAGTGGAAATTTCTTGTTTATACCTTCCTGTTGCTGAAGAATGGCTGCTTAAGCCGTGATAGCTCTTTAACACCTGGCTGGAGTGCTAGTGTGTCTTTGTTTCTGAACACTTGTTTGAGCCTGCTTTTCTTAAACTTAGAGCATGTTACAGCAATGATATGTAGTAGAATCTTATAACCCACATACAATGTTGATACGTGTTTCAGAGTGGTAGCCATGTTAGTCTGTATCAGCAAAAACAATGAGGAGTCCTTGTGGCACCTTAGAGAGTAAGAAATTTATTTGGGCATAAGCTTTCGTGGGCTAAAACCCACTTCATCTGAATAAATTTGTTAGTCTCTAAGGTGCCACAAGGACTCCTCGTTGTTAATGTTGATGCATGTATTTTACCAGGGCAATAATGTTCAGCAGATGGAGTTTTCAAATGATACCTCACAGGGCATACTTTTATAATTTTTTTTACAAGGCTCTCTCACGGGCTCCTCCTCTCATTTTGTACTAAACCTTATAGAGCACTAGTTTTGGTTTGTTTAAATATATTCTGTTTTAAATCTGCCCCTCAGCAATTCCCAGATGTATATTTTGGGAGATTAAACCTCCTTTGCATCTGTCTACAGTGCAACTAACATCTCTAAATTAAACCCAAATCTATAATAATTCCTAGAAATGGAAGCTTAATGTCATTTACACTATACAACTTCATAAACACAGTTAGGATTTTATTTTAAAGCTTTTAATTTGTTTAGGGAAATATTAAAGGTACAAACCCACCCTCTCTCCCTGTTTTCTGCTTTCATTATGGCCATTGAAGTGTGAAGTTTAATTAATCAGCAGCATATTAAGGATGGAGACCTAGGTCTGGTTTACACTAGAAAATCAGATCAACCCAGCTATGTCGATCGGGGTGTGAAAAATCTGCACCCTGAGCATTGTAGATAAGCCAGCCTAAGCCCCCCTGTAGACAGGAGTAGATTGATGGAAGCCTTCTTCTGTTGACTTACCTCAGGGATCGGTAACCTTTGGCACGCAGCCCGTCAGGGAAAGCCGCTGGCGGGCAGGGGCGGTTTGTTTACCTGCAGCGTCTGCAGGTTCGGCCAATTGCAGCTCCCATTGGCCGCGGTTCGCCGTTCCAGGCCAACGGGGGCTGCGGGAAGCGGCGCGGGCCGGGCCACCTCTTCCTGCAGCCCCCATTGGCCTGGAACAGCGAACTGCGGCCAGTGGGAGCTGCGATCGGCTGAACCTGCAGACGCTGCAGGTAAACAAATCGCCCCGCCCGCCAGCGG